ACAATAGAGGTAACCGAGACAAAATAACAAAAGTATTCATATCTAAGTTAATTACGGAAGTATCCATGCTTCTTGCTGCTTCATCTCGTCGTAGCTCAGTGACCTTGCCTTTACCGTGACAACTTGTGCATCCTCCAGTGGCCAGACTCGTTTCCCACAACTCGGTTTCTTGTGTGATTTAAGCTTTTCTGAAGCCGCCAAGTAACCTTCTACGCCAGCATTGTCAGCAGGCTGAGGCACAATCTGGAAAAGGTAAAAAATATTTTCACTTAAGACAGTTAGAAGGTGCCTATCAAAAATTTGCTATGAAGGTGCACTCTAATATAATGGAGCTCATGACAAATTTGCAGGCATATCAGCTGGCAGGACACTATGTGCAGTACTATTCTTAAAATATTTACGACTAATGGCATGCCGGCAAAGTAAAGAGAGACTAGATGGGCCATTTGTGGCTTATTAACCGCAGTCAGCCAGGCACACCCAACGCCTGTTGCTATTCAATGCTCTAACGCATTGAGCTACGGACTCGTTGTCTTGTAAGTTGCGATTATGCATATTAACAACTATAGAGGTACGTAAAAGACCGATGAGCACGTATCCACCAAGGTTAATATTTCCAATGGACGTCCCCAGGGCAACAAGTCCCCCGCTCAATGGTTGGAGCGTTCGACTTCAAATCAATAAGTCTTGGACTCGAGCCTTAAGTACCGCAACATTTGGGATAAGGGTATAACTACCTGATGACATCTAACAAACACGAAATGGTCATTCCAGACTTCATCGTCTTTGGCGGTAAGGTCATTCTGCCCACACCATTAACCGCAGGGCGGCTGCTGATCGGAATCGAGTTTGACCCCCAGGGCACAGCGGTACGAGTGCGTCCCGTAACTGATCAATAAGTGTCCATTTACTATATAGTTTAGAGCTTAGGTTTGAACAAACGTTCGCGGGCGTGAAATAGATGAAGACTTGTGGTGACTCACTCCACATGGGCAAGCATGCCCCAAGGCCCATCGCTGCTAACGCGCGCGCCTGCACTGAAGGCGGCCTCTTGAACAGCCAATCACTAATGCCGCAAAGCTGGTCTCACCCGGCGACGAATAAGACGCATGCATGCCTAGATCGATGCGGTCTGT